AGGTGGATGTGCAGCGATACACGAGGCTGTTGCTGCTCCTTCTATTGGGGGGGGGGGTCTTGTTCCCGAACACTTCGGGGAACCTAGTGAGCCTCCGTTATTTGCATCATATCACCCGGTTCGAGGATACAACCAGCTACAGCTGGGGTGGTTCTGTCCTCTCATTTTTGTACAGGCAGATGTGTCGGGCTTCCATGGGCACACAAAGAGACGTTTGTGGCTTCCTGCCGCTTCTACAGGTGACAACATATTCAACGAATATGTCCGTTAGTTACAATTCTACCTAGTTATAGTTTATCTGACACTATACATCAACTTTCTATGTTAGGTTTGGGTCTGGGAGCGATTTCTGCAGCTTCGGCCACCTTTACCACAGCTACCGGCTAATGTAGACATTCCGAATCTCCCTCTAGCTTGTAGGTGGGTTATGCGTCGTAGACTTGCACGAGAGTATGATGCCCATTATAATCTCCCCCGCATCAGGGATGTCTTGGATTTGCTGGAGGACGCACAGGTGAATATCTAACTAAACGTACCAGTTATTGTTTAATTTAGTGTTGCGCATACTAACGGTTTGTGTTGTTATTTGATAGTTCATCTGGACGCCGTACAGCGAGGAGGTGATAGGTACCCTGCCAGCGTATTGTACGTTCGGCCGACATATTTGGAGGGCTTCTGTCCCTCTCACATGCCTCGATATTGTGGAGCATCATGCCTCAGAGCGGGTTTTTCGTCAGTTTGGCATGCCGCAGCCTATACCGACTCCGCCTGCATGGCATCCTTTACATTATGAGAGGGATGATCGGTCTAGGGTGGACGACACATTTATTGACTGGCTTAACGCCCAGCTGGCTATTTGGGACAGGCGAGGTGACTTAAACCCAACTCCGCAGCACTTTCCTATTGAAGGTTATATGGCATGGTACCGCACTGTTTCCCGACTTTTTATTGGGAACCCAGTTCATCAGGCAGAAGGTCGGTACGTCTCATACGCCGGGAGACACGAGGCTCTGGTATGTTTTCTGTTATAATTAATTATATACCTGTAATTTTGTGCCAAATACGTAGTTTAAATTCTTTACTTTTGCGCAGGCGATTGGATTGCATACGGTCTATCGTATGGGGCAGCAGATGCAGAGTTATGTCCTCGATCCTATGGTCATGCAGGACTACAGTCGTCAATTCATGGATTTGGCTGCCCAGACATTGCAGCGAGCCCGATCGAATCAGCGTTTAGCACACGAGGCTGATTATATTGACCCAGCCACGTACCAGCGAGGTCATGGTATCCCACGAGGTGGTGGTGCCCGACGAGGTGGTGGTGCCCGACGACCTCGTGCTGCCCGAGGAGGTGGTGTTCAGCAGGGGGGCCATGATGCTCCTGACGATGATGTTGCTGCTGATATGACAGGTGGCATGCATGAGACTGACATGCCATCTTACAGCCTGAGAATTTTTGACACTCCAGTGCCATCATAGATGACCCCATCGGGTCAACTATTGATCACGGGCTCGGATTTTCAAGGAGCTGAGTAGGGTAGATATTTCCCTGGCCCGTCTACCACTGATGAGGGTCGACCGACCCGAGATTTATTTAGTGGGCGCCGACTGAGTTATGGCAGCTCTTCACATGCGCAGGTATGAGTTTATTAGTATTGAATTTGAATTTGTTTTAACTATAACTTATTTATTTTGTTACACTATATTAATTTCCTTATTTCAGGCTTCATGTGATGCTGTGACAGATGACTACATTCAGGATCCAGACACGATTATGGTAAGATAATATAAATTGTTATGAATTATTATGTAGTTTTCTAAACCAAGTTTTATATTATTATGTAGCATTCTACTGGACCTGACAGCACCATCGATACATGTCATCCTGCGCCGCATCCGGCTATAAGGAGAAAACATGATGATGATGATCCTGATAGCGTACCCGGGCGGGAGGGGATACGCCTCAGGCCAACGGCTACATTGAGACACACCGGATGCGGGCATTGAGTCGGCCTTCCTTTTTTTTTATTTGGTGTAAATAATATTTTTGTACATATTAACAACAATATTTAATTGAATATATCCATTACTTTTTTTAGTTCTCCATGTGTTTTATTGTTTCGTATAACAACACAAGCATTTAAACTTAAATGCCACTAATTAAAATAAATTTCAGTACAACAAACAAGGAAAACATAACAACAACACAAACACAAACATAACATGCCAACATAATAAAAATACATGAAATATGAAAAATACACTAAACACATACAGGCCATTGTTTAGTCCCGGCTGCCATTTATTCTCCGCTCCAACCACTTAAATCGTTGTTCCATTTGTTCTTTTTCTTCTTCTAACTCTTTCACTCTCGCCTTCACCTCCGCAAGTTCCCGTTTATATTTTTTTTTACGTTCCTTCTGTGCTTCACAATTCCATTCTGCTCTCCATTTTTCATCTCCTACCTGCTTTAGTTTCTCCCTCATTTCTGTAATAATTCTATCGCTTTCTCTTTGTACTCCCAGTTGGCATAACCACATATTATGAAGAGATTGCAGTTGTTCTCTGTAGCATTCCTGATAACATGGTTCATCAACCCATTCATCAAACTCACACATAGGTTCGCCGGGAACCTTGTACAACTGGTTCATACAGTGCCAGTAGCGGCGTCCAACATCACGACCTTCCCAACAACTGTTCATCACGCATTCTTTTCCACAGTAGCACATTGGTGGACGAAGAGGTTGAGCCATTTGTGAAATATTTCCTTTTAGTAAAAAAAAATCTTTCTCTTAATGAAATATTTGCGTTTAGTAAATTTTGAGCACACAAAATGACTACAATGAGCCCGTTATTTATAGGCGAGAGAACACACACATAACGCCAGGTATAATGGCGCTATATTTTGCGTGTTAAATATCATGATGTTGACAAGACTACTTTATGTCAGCTGGTCAGCTTTTCCAGTTCGACAAGACAACACACACATAACGCCAGGTATAATGGCGCTATATTTAGCGTGTTAAATATCATGATGTTGACAAGACTACTTTATGTCAGCTGGTCAGCTTTTTCAGTTCGACAAGACAACACACACATAACGCCAGGTATAATGGCGCTATGTTTAGCGTGTTAAATATCATGATGTTAATAAGACTACTTTATGTCAGCTGGTCAGTTTTTTCAGTTCGACAAGACAACACACACATAACGCCAGGTATAATGGCGCTATATTTAGCGTGTTAAATATCATGATGTTAATAAGACTACTTTATGTCAGTTGGTCAGCTTTTTCAGTTCGACAAGACAACACACACATACTAAATGGAAATTCGTGTTACATTTAAATATTCCTAGAGGAAAAATAACGAAAAAGAAAAAAAGGTAAAATAAGTGGACCGATATTTCTTCCATTATCTAGAATCAAACCAAATATTGTGAAAGTTGAATTATGTTAATGTCAAAGCATCTTTATTTTTCTTATATATAGAAGAGTGGTAGAGTGGTAATGTGCTGGACTTGGAAAAAAATTATTTTATTACAAGCATAATGTTATTTCATAAATCAGACAACATACACATATTAACTAATTATTACAACATCAACTCATGGGTAGTTAGGTACACTAGAAGAACACCCACCCCGAGCTTGATTACTGTTGCCACCCAAAGGACATTTTCTACGGCCGTGTCCTGTTTGCGAGCATATACCACATTTTCGCGCATAAACTGTATCACTAACATCCATTTGGTTCCGTATACGCGTTCTCTTCTGCACCTGTATTTTACGCAAATAGGACTAGTTACACACCATTTTAAATGGTTCAGGAGGCCAATAATGCTCAGCATCCAGTGGCTGCAACTGACCACTATATGTCTTTAGGTACTTGGAAACACTATATTATCGATCAACATAGTTGGTTGCACCTAAACCAACTTGTTGAAAGCACTTGATGGCATGTGAGCAAGGCATGTGGTAGATGGACCATTTTCCACAAAAGCATAACCTTGCAGATTCATTTACAGTATGCACATTATTACCCCGATTTTGATGGATAGCGGTGCGAACTTCAAAAACATTTCTTTCATTATCATACTGCAAAAATGAATGCCAATGTGCTCGTCGTCTGTATTTCTCAAATCTCGTCATCGGCACTGGCATAAATTCAACACCCCTTCCATCAATGATGTTGCAGCTGCAGACCTTTCAACGAACCTCTCCGCCATTTGCTTGAACGACATCCGCACCATGGCTGTGACAGGCAATCCTCTTGCCGACTTCAATAACCCGTTGAAAGACTCTGACACATTTGTAGTCAGAGTTCCCCATCGTCTGCCACCATCCGCATGCAAAGTCCACTTTTCAGGGTTATGTCGCATTAACCAACGATAGGCTACCTCGTCTTCTTGCCTGATATATTCCATGTGACTCCGGAATTTATGTTGTTGGTGGTCTGTTGCTGCCATCCACATCAAATCATGCAGATCTTTATTGGGATATGCCTTCTGGAAATTGGCTTTCAAATGCCTAACACAGTAAAGATGGTAGGCATAAGGTTCTTGCCATGCAGGCAAGTTCTCCACAGAACTTAAGATACCACCGTGCCGATCAGATATTAGACAGATACCGGAACGCTGTTTCACAACGTGCTCTTTCATATGGTTCAAAAACAACGTCCACGTCTCTTGGCTTTCATTGGCACAAATAGCAAAAGCTAGAGGAAATATCTGTCCATTAGCATCTACTGCCACGGCTATTAACAGCTTGATATCGTACTTTCCATAGACATGAGTGCTGTCTATGGATATTACGGGGCGACAATGCGAAAAACCATCAATTGCTGGTTTAAACGCCCAGAACACGTAATTGAATATATATTCTGGTTTACCTGCACTTCGCTCAAGCTTCCACTCAACAACCGTCCCGGGGTTAAAATGCTGTAGTGCAGCCATGTACCTAGGCAGATCTGCAAATGACTTATCCCAGTTACCATACACTATTTCAAACGCTCGTTTCCGCCCGAGAAATGCCTTTCTTTTAGTAATGGTATGGCCATGTTCCTGCTGGACTGATGTAATACACTCTTTGATTTTATACCTTATGGACTGTTCGATGTGTGGAATAAGAACAAGAGAAATCAAGTCAATATCCAAGTTGAAGTGATTCCCGTTGAATGTGTCCATTTCGCATGCCTGGGTGGGAATGTATTTACCCACTTTCCACATACCTGTCTTCTTCTTGGTCGCACGCAACATCCAATTACATGGCCAAAACCACCTGCGGCAAAAAACCTTGTATACCGTCGGACTTGACTCCCATACCTGCATCTCATGACACTCTTTTACGTTGTGCATTTTACAAGCCCTGCTTAGGCGCGCTTTTTCAGGAAAAAAGCATCCCCTTTGCAAGCACCGTTGGTCTAGACTCATCCCACATTGCTGTCCGAATTTTATCAAAATCCCTTGTGAGAGCTTCCACATCCGGCATGGTTGGCAAGTTATCAATGTAAGGAATCTCTCTTGAATGAAACGGCACTTCGGACTCGTACACTCTTCGTCTAGGGGGGTCTCTCTTCAAATCAGGTCCTTCCTCCTCATCCTCTGCATCACCATCCTCACGAGCAAAGGGTGTCTCATCCCCGGATTCATCCGCATTGTTATCGTAATCACTGTTCTGTTCTTCACTCTGTGCATCTGCCAGGTCCCAATGTAATACATCATTTTCGGGCAATTGAGTGAGTTCAACTTGCTCGTTTTCACTGCACAACCAACAAAAATATAAGCTACTAAATTAATAAATGATTTCCATATTTTGCGTAAATCACTTCACTTACAAGTCGTAATGTGATGAAATTCCATGATGGACATAATCAATTAGGTGATGACTACCGGATGGGCCACTTGTAAAATTCATATACGGCCGGCACCCCCTATTAAATATGTGAGCGTTAATACAAATTCAATACAACAAAAATATACATAATTAACACAAATGAAAATTGAAATTTACCACTCGTCTTGTGAGTTACGGAAAGTAGGGTATAAATTATTTTCTCGCTGCTCATTCACCGGCGGTGATAAGTTTAAATCAAAGATAACTCTTTCATCCGGAACTTGTCCGGCAAAAACTGTTCCAGAATAACCACCCGATGACTGGGGGTTATCTCTACTACGCACAACCTCATTTTTTGGAAAGTCTTCGACCTTCACGTACATCTTCAACATTGTGATTACAAGAAAATCCCGACATTCGTCCGGAGTCCTCAAAAAATCACTCAAAGTTTCATCATCGTCGATGTTAAACTCCGAGTAAAAAGCAACCCCTTGCGGAGTGACGGAATAAGGATATCTTCCGGTTACTTTAAGTATCACCGAACGTTTTCTCACACTCATTTTTTTGCATAACAACGATATCAATGTATCGTACTCCATTGTCAGTGGCAATTTAACATGACACTTAGCAGGTAAACTGTAGCCCAC